CCTCCCTCAAGCAACTACAACTGTTTTTAGGGTTCGCTAATTTTTATAGGCGATTTATTCGCAATTTTAGCTCCCTAGCCCCTCCCCTGACAGCCCTCACCCAGATGAGCGTGCGCTCCTTCGCCTGGACCCCGGAAGCGGGGAACGCATTCGATGTGCTTAAGTGGCGCTTTACATCGGCCCCGGTCCTAGGGCATCCTGATCCGTCCCTGCTGTTCATTGTGAAGGTGGATGCTTCAGACATTGCGATGGGAGCAATCCTGTCTCAGCGGTTCCTCATGGACGGTAAGACTCCTGCACGTTTTTCTCCCATCGGCTGTCCCCGGCGGAGCGGAATTACGACGTGGGGAACCGTGAGCAGCTAGCGGTCAAGTTCGCCCTGGGGGAGTGGAGGCATTGGCTAGAGGGGGCCACCCATCCATTCGTCGTATGGACTGACCATAAGAACTTAGCCTACATTCAGGGGGCCAAGAGGCTCAACTCGCACCAGGCCAGGCGGGTGTTGTTCTTCACTAGGTTCCGGTTCATGATCTCATACCGTCCAGGGTCGAAGAACACCAAGCCTGACACACTCTCCCGGCAGTTCGACCATGTGGACCTGGTGGAGAGAGACGACCCCATTGTTCCCAACGCCCTGATTGCTGCCCCAGCTTCGTGGGGAATCGATAGGCTGGTCAGTGCAACTCTACGGCGGGAGCCTAATCTGAGCGGAGGTCCATCGGGGAGGATGTACATACCCAAGGCAGTGTGCTTGCGACTGCTTCAGTGGGCGCATGCGTCTGACGTCACCAGCCATCCGGGGGCGCCAGGACGTTCGAGTTCCTGCGTAGGAGGTTCTGGTGGCCATCAGCTGAGGGGGATATGCACGCCTTCGTGGCTGCTTGCCTGGTGTGCACATGCACGAAGAGCTCACGTCAGCCCGCGGCAGGGCTGCTCCGACCCCTGCCTATCCCCAAGCACCCCTGGTCCCACATCTTGCTGGATTTAATTTCTGCTCTATCCCCCTCTGATGGATACACAGTCATCCTGGTCGTTGTGGACCAGTTTTTGAAAGCTGCCCACTTCATTCCCCTTCTCAAACTCCTGTTAGCCCGGGAGATGGCTAAGTTGGTGGTGCAGCACGTTTTCCGTGTCCACGGCCTTCCCCAAGATGTGGTGTCTGATCGGGGCCCTCAGTTCGCCTCCAGGTTCTGGAAGGCATTCGCCACCAGTCGAACGGGCAGATGGAGCGCGTCAACCAGGATCTGGAGGGGGTGCTGAAGTGCTACGCCTCCAGCAACCCAGCTACGTGGAGTCAGCGACAGGCGTGGGCAGAGTACGCCCACAACAACCTTCTCTGCTCGTCCACCGGCCTGTCCCCCTTCCAGTGCCAATACGGGTACCAACCCCCCCTATTCCCGAGCAAGAGGAGGAGGCGGTGGTCCGAAAGGTCCAGGCCCACATCAGTCGCTGTCGCCGCACCTGGAGGCAGGTACGGGAGGCGTATACAGTGGAGAAAAAAAGTATTTAGTCAGCCACCAATTATGCAAGTTCTCCCACTTAAAAAGATGAGAGAGGCCTGTAATTTTCATCATAAGTACACGTCAACTATGACAGACAAATTGAGGAAAAAAAATCCAGAAAATCACATTGTAGGATATTTAATGAATTTATTTGCAAATTATGGTGGAAAATAAGTATTTGGTCAATAACAAAAGTTTCTCAATACTTTGTTATATACCCTTTGTTGGCAATGACACAGGTCAAATGTTTTCTGTAAGTCTTCACAAGGTTTTCACACACTGTTGCTGGTATTTTGGCCCATTCCTCCATGCAGATCTCCTCTAGAGTAGTGATGTTTTGGGGCTGTTGCTGGGCAACACGGACTTTCAACTCCCTCCAAAGATTTTCTATGGGATTGAGATCTGGAGACTGGCTAGGCCACTCCAGGACCTTGAAATGCTTCTTACGAAGCCAATCCTTCGTTGCCCGGGTGGTGTGTTTGGGATCATTGTCATGCTGAAAGACCCAGCCACGTTTCATCTTCAATGCCCTTGCTGATGGAAGGAGGTTTTCACTCAAAATCTCACGATACATGGCCCCATTAATTATTTCCTTTACACGGATCAGTCGTCCTGGTCCCTTTGCAGAAAAACAGCCCCAAAGCATGATGTTTCCACCCCCATGCTTCACAGTAGGTATGGTGTTCTTTGGATGCAACTCAGCATTCTTTGTCCTCCAAACATGACGAGTTGAGTTTTTACCAAAAAGTTATATTTTGGTTTCATCTGACCATATGACATTCTCCCAATCCTCTTCTGGATCATCCAAATGCACTCTAGCAAACTTCAGACGGGCCTGGACATGTACTGGCTGAAGCAGGGGGACACGTCTTGCACTGCAGGATTTGAGTCCCTGGCGGCGTAGTGTGTTACTGATGGTAGGCTTTGTTACTTTGGTCCCAGCTCTCTGCAGGTCATTCACCAGGTCCCCCCATGTGGTTCTGGGATTTTTGCTCACTGTTCTTGTGATCATTTTGACCCCACGGGGTGAGATCTTGCGTGGAGCCCCAGATCGAGGGAGATTATCAGTGGTCTTGTATGTCTTCCATTTCCTAATAATTGCTCCCACAGTTGATTTTTTCAAACCAAGCTGCTTACCTATTACAGATTCAGTCTTCCCAGCCTGGTGCAGGTCTACAATTTTGTTTCTGGTGTCCTTTGACAGCTCTTTGGTCTTGGCCATAGTGGAGTTTGGAGTGTGACTGTTTGAGGTTGTGGACAGGTGTCTTTTATACTGATAACAAGTTCAAACAGGTGCCATTAATACAGGTAACGAGTGGAGGACAGATGAGCCTCTTAAAGAAGAAGTTACAGGTCTGTGAGAGCCAGAAATCTTGCTTGTTTGTAGGTGACCAAATACTTATTTTCCACCATAATTTGCAAATAAATTCATAAAAAATCCTACAATGTGATTTTCTGGATTTTTTTTCCTCAATTTGTCTGTCATAGTTGACGTGTACCTATGATGAAAATTACAGGCCTCTCTCATCTTTTTAAGTGGGAGAACTTGCACAATTGGTGGCTGACTAAATACTTTTTTTCCCCACTGTAAGCGGGCCTCGGTCAGGTCTCAACATCAGGCCAACCGCAGGCGTCGCCCGGCCCCGGTCATTTGCCTGGGACAGAGGGTGTGGCTCTCCACGTGGGATATTCCCCTCCGCGTGGAGTCCAGGAAGCTGTCCCCCCCAGTTCGTTGGGCCATTCAGAGTGGTCCGGCGAGTCAACCCAGTGGCCTACCGCTTGCAACTTCCCCTTACCATGCGGGTGCATCCCACGTTCCATGTGTCCCTCCTCAAGCCCGTCGCCACCTGTCCCCTGGCTCCCCCTCCTCGTCCTGTTCCCCCGCTGTGCCTCGTCGGAAGGCAGCCGGCTTTTACTGTGGACCGGATCCTGGACTGCCGGTGGGTGGGGAGGGGTACTCCAATTTCTGGTGGACTGGGAGGGTTATGGGCCGGAGGAGTGGTCCTGGGTGCCCAGGAGGGACATTCTGGACCCAGGGCTGATAACAACATTCCGTTGCCTCCACCCGGAGGCGCCGAGGTGAACAGCATTTCCAACAGTTCGCTAAGAGCTGGCAGCAATCTTATAGGTCTGCTGTTAGAACCAGTAAAGGCCGCTTTACCACTATTGTGTAGCGGAATTACTTTGTCCTCAAGCCTGGAGGGAAGCCAAAGACTTCCCTTTAGGCTCACATTAAAGATCTGACAGATAGGAGTGGCTATAGAGTCTACAGTATTAGTTCTACAGTATTAGTAAAAATGTGATCGATACATGTGGGTGATCTTGTTCCTGTAGTGTTTGTAAACACCCTGGTTCCAGATTACAGGCACTGGTTACAGTGAGAAGCTTCCTCTTGAGCGGACAGCTTGATGAAAACCAGTAAATATTCAGGTCTCCAAGAAAGTAGATCTCTCTGTTTACGTCACAAGTATTTCACACATTATTTAGATACTGACTGTTAGCACTTGGTGGCCTATAGCAACACCCCCCCAAAAAAAAGGCATTAGATGTGCCAAGTGAACCTGCAACCACAACACTTCAATAACACTTGACATAAGATATTTTCTAAGCATTACAGGGATATGGGTCTGAATATTTACAGCAACACCTCCCCCATAAGCATTTATGTCTCTTCTACAGATGTTATATCCTTGTATTGCTACTGCTGTATTATTAAATTAATTATCTAAGTGAGTCTCAGAAATTGCTAATATAGGAATGTTATCTGATGTTAGCAAGTTATTGATTTCATAAACCTTATTTCTAAGGCTACATATATTCATATGGGCTATTTTCAGCCCCTTCCTGGGTAGCTTATCAGAGATCGACAGAATACTGAAAAGAGCAAACAAAGCAAGAGGAAAAAATATACATTCAGCAGTCCATTAATCAATTGGTGTGCGTGTGCTGCGGGGTTGGTTAACTCTTGAGATCCCTCGTGTCTCTACCAACCTAGTTAAATCAGCCTTTAGTTAACGCCCCCCCATGTTTGGAATAATTTACAAACCTTATTAAATCTGGAATCCCTGGTGCCAATAGGGCTGTTTAGAACACTGATGAGGGATGAATTCACTGAGGCTTGCAAGTGTTTTGGATGATTGTGGTGGTTTATTTGTGTTGTTGAGATGTGGTGTGTATCTGCTGTATCCTGTAGTTTCTTTTTGCCGTTTTATTGAATTATCATGTTGTGAGTTTTTTGTTCTCAGGGCTCGATTGTGAATGAGACCCTGGTCTCAATTGGCTCCCCTGAATAATTAAAAGTTAAATAAAAAATAAAACACACATCTGTACATCCATTTTACACTGACTCTTGTACCCAATTTTTTCCCAACACCTCTCAAGTGTATTGTGTTTTTATACAGCTGCAAACCAAATAGCCCAATTTTGGGACAATAATGTTTTTCTGTATCTTAATCTGAATCTCCTTATCTTACTTCCATCTTCCTCTGTGGTTCAGGGGAGCTGGGTGACTGTAACTGCCTGGGAGAAGGCACCTCGGGTGGGGTGGGGGCACTGGGTGCTCCTGGGGCTGATGGAAGACCTGGGGGGTCAGGACGTAAAGGCGAGAGCGGAGACCCTGGCATACCTGGTTTCGGAGGACAACCAGGAACACCTGTAAGTGAGCAGGATTTTACTGTTTGAAGCTTACTCATGTTTTGGGGCAATTTCTCCAAAAATGTAAAAGGATTATAGTAGTATAGTGCTGCTAAAACGTACATTTAGTCTAAAAATGAAGCAGTTTATGTCTACTCACTCCTTGTTTCAATTTACAAATATAAAATATTAAAAGTGTACATACATTACTAGGTTTGCTTTACAAATCTGAGGTATGATGACAAACTACAGTATGTGATGGTAACACCTCTTCTTCTCCCCTCAGGGTCGTGCGGGTGAGAGGGGTTTCTTCGGGCGTAAAGGAGAGAAGGGTGCTTCCTTCTACCCGTCGTTCAGCCGGGGGATCAAGGGTGAACTGGGGGCCCAGGGCCCTCGGGGCCCCCCTGGAGACATGGGCCGACCCGGGAGAGATGGACTGCCTGGCTTCCCTGGACAGCCTGGGCCTCCTGTGAGTCACACACACAGATACACGCACGCACATACTGTACCCAGGCACACACATTTACACACTTTTATAGATACCCACACCTTGTCCTGTGTATTGTAATAGACCTGTTTCTCTCCACTCCCCAGGCTGATGTCGATGGCTACGGATCCGTCGGAGAGAGAGGTTTCCCAGGGTTCTCAGGGGCCAAAGGTCGCGCGGGTGAACCAGGAGAGAGTGGGATTGGCTACGAGGGTGACGTCGGTACCCGCGGGTTGCCAGGCGACCCGGGCTTCTCCGGGTTACCAGGGCAACCTGGTTTGCCTGGCCCGCCAGGTATGTGCCACCCAACGAGGAGGGCGTGAAGAGAGAGTGTGAGAGAGAGAGAGAGAGAGAGCGAGAGAGAGATGTGGAAGTGTGTATAGTCGTATATTTATCCTATTCTCTCCACAGGAGAACTACATATAGACCAAGCAAACTGTCTAAAAGAACGATTTTGAGAATCCCACTTGCTTCCCATTGTGCAAACAACACAACGTATTTCAGTAACTAAGGCTGCGTTTAGACAGGAAGCCCAATTCTGATCTTTCTTTTCACCAATTGATGTTTTGATCAGATCAGCTCTGAAAAAGATTTTGATCTGAAAATATCAGAATTGGGCTGCTTGTTTAAATGCATCCTAAGTACGACAGCCCTTCATTAGCTACAGACACACCAAATAAAATATGTACAATTGGGGCATATAGAACAACACAATAGCAGTATTAAGGTTATTGCTAAAGCAGCCCATGCAGCTTGCTACGGTTTTCCTCCCTTCATTCATTCCCTTGCAGGCAGTTGATTGGTTAATTCATGGCCGTCATTAATATGCTTATCTCTCTAGCCAACCTACCTCAACCTTTAACTACACTGTTAGAAAAAAGGGTTCCAAAAGGGTTCTTCGACTGTCCCCGTAGGATAACCCTTTTTGGTTCCAGGGTTGAACCTTTTTTGGTTCCACATAAAACCCTTTAGGGTTCCATGTAGAACCCTCTGTGAAAAGGGTCCTACATGGAACCTAAAATGGTTCTACTTGGAACCAAAAATGGTTCTTCAAAGGGTTCACCTATGGGGACAGAAGCACTTTTTTTCTACGAGTGTAACTGCTTCAACAATTCACACAGATCGACAGTAATTAATTTGCTGTGATTGCGCAATAATGGCTACTACCGAACTGTGATTTTTCAATCTCAGAGGAGAAGGCAACGGATGTTTAAAAATAATTCATACAAGTTAATGGATGTTAATGTAATGATAATTTAGACTAAGTATACAGAAGACTGACAGCTCCTGATAACACTGAGGCTGTCCTAATATGGACACCATAACATGTTTTAGTAATTTCACTGCAATGGACTTTAGCTAGCTAACTCTTCTCTGAGATTGAACGACACAAAACCCAACAGCATTTTGCCACTCATATGAATGAACGTGTGTGTGACTGTTGCCTACATTTTCTGATACAATAATGCTAATGCTAAAACTGATTCATTTATATTTTTAATACGATACGTTATTATTTTTTGAAGAGAGAGAGAGAATGAGGAAAGGTTGCAAAACAAAAGATAGCAAATACATGATGAGACCTTTTTTTTGCAGACAAAGCTATTAAGATATCTTTATCATTTTGGTCATATTTGCCACTCTCTCCCTCTCTTTCTCCTCTTCTGAAAGAGAATAACCTTGACCAAACATCTCAGAATTATTTTTATTTTGCTTATGCCTTAACTGAATGAGCTGAATCTCTGACCTTTGATTTGCTGATTGTTTGATTGAATTATTTTTAATTGGCTTATGCATTGATTTGCGTGACTGTATGCAAATGACCTGAATGACCTTGATTGGCTTGTCTTCTGCCGTCCTGTCCTCCCTGTATCCCCCTGCCCTCTCTCTCTCACGCTCTCTCTCCATCTCTCTCTCTCCCCCTCTCTCTCCCTCTCTCTTCCACTAGTACATCTCTCTCTCTTGCTCTCTCTCTGACTCACTCTTTATATTTCTCTCTCTCTCTCTCTCTCTCTCTCTCTTCATCCATCCATCCATCCCTGCATCCCTCCATCTCTCTGACCCTGTGCATGTTTGTCTGACCAGGTGACAGCTGTGGGCAGGAGGGGGTTAATGACGCAGAGGGAGGTGAGAAGTTAAAGAGAACTGCCGTTGACAGAGAACCCCAGAGCCTTAGATATAGTCTTTAAGGTCAACTCTGTTTAAGATTCAGAGTTCCAATGGCAGCCATTTCGGCACCGGGAGTTCCAAGACAATAGGATTCCATTGTTATGTCATTGTTATGGAACGTTTTGGTGCCAAAATGGATGGCAGACAGTTGGCCACATACTGTGTACCTGTGGCTCAGGAGATACTTGATCATCCTGTGGCCATTGTTTGGATGAAACACCCCAAGTGCTCATTCAAAGCTTGTAATGGCAGAAAAAGGAACCCCTGAACTCTTCAATGGACAGAATTGTCATTTACTCAACATGTCAATCATTTGTTCATGATGTCACCAATGGAAGCTCCTTGTTGCCCCATATGATTGGGATTCCATTGGGCTTGAATCAGTTGATGATTGACACTTGATGATGAACATTCTGCCCAGTGTTGAGTTCCAAGTAGCTTTGGTCCAGGGTGTTACGTGAGGCTGGCTGGCTGGCTCAGCAACAGCAAGCCGCATGTAACGCCCTGGACCAGAGTTAAGTTCCGAGCTACAACTCTCTTCCTCTGTCAGAAAATGGTTGGGAGCTTTCGGTGGCCATTGGCATTTAGCAGTGCATTACTTCACTCCTTCTCCTCCAATCAGAGCTGCTGAACCCTGGCGCATGTGTTAAGCTCCGCCTCTGCTAAGTGCTTAACCAATAGGGAGGGGTGAGCGCAATGGGGGGGGGAGGGGGGGGAGCCAATCAGACTTCATTACAATAGTGTCGTTTTTTATTGAAATAATACCAAAGAAAATACATACATTTACTTACTAGCTGTGAATCACTTTTAACTGTCCATAACTATAATGTTGTCTTAATCAATTAATAACTACTTTTAATCAACAGATTGACATAAAATCCTCACCATAATTGAACATAATCATAATCACATAAACGCATATCCATAAACGAGCATACAAATAACAATAATGTGCTACAGTGATGGCCAATATTTATGTATAAGCTAGACTGTGTGTACTTTAATATTATAGTGGCATTGTACCAATTTGACTGAGGCATAGAGGGCTTTACTCCAGCCCTGTGTGTTTGTGTGTTTGTATGTGTGTGTGTGCGTGCTAACCGTGATCTGACTGGCTGTTACTAGGGTTGACGGTCCCTTGTCGTCTATCTGGCGAGGATGGAGAACCCGGCTACCCAGGAATAACTGGAAGACCAGGTAACATATAGACATCCTCTCCATGACAACACTTCCTGTTTTGTAATTCAACATAAAAAATTTTTACCCGGAGTTTGACAATGTCTATGCGTATGTGTGCGTGTGTGCGTGTGTGTGTGTGTGTGTGTGTAGGTTCCAAGGGCGAGCCAGGTTTCCCAGGGGGTCCCGGTCGGCCCGGCTTTGATGGAGGGAAAGGAGAGAGAGGAGACCCTGGCTTCGGAGGTCGGCCTGGACCACAAGGTGACTAACACAGCTCATGTTCTTGCCCATTAGCTTCAACAATATCTCCACTCTTCTCTTTTCAAGCATGACCATCTAGTGACCACTAATCTGATTAAAACTGATATCTATGGTCCATTGTTGATATTTATAGTATATGACTTTATAGTATATGTCTATGTTCTTGTTCCCATGAGCTCATGTTAATTAGCCTTAACAATATCAACACTCTTCTCTGTTCTAGTGACCACTGATATCTATGGTCCATTGCTGCCAATTAGTGACAATAAATATTTACTGAATGAAATTGACTTAATGTTTCTATGACTTCCACTTACTCGTTTGATTGCTGCCAACACAAATTGCCTTTAGTGCTAAATGGCATACTGTATATACAGTAATAGTGAAAATAATGATTTATTGAATTGAACCGACTTTATCCCCCTCCCCCCTCTCTCAGGATTCCCTGGCCCCAGAGGAGATGCGGGGGTCCCAGGTATCCCAGGCGAGGGCCGTCCAGGGGCCCCAGGGAAGAACGGGCTCCCGGGGCGGCCGGGGGAAAAGGGGCAGCCGGGGCAGGTGCTGGGGGCCTCAATAGGGCTCCCTGGATCACCTGGGTTCCCTGGAGGACCAGGAGACAAGGGAGAGCGAGGAGCGTCGGGACTACCTGGAGGATCAGGTGGGTCCCAGCATGATAATGAACTAATAATCTGATAAATTACCCTTTGGGGATCAATAAAGTAATCTATTGATCTATCTATTGATCAAACTGTCTGTCTGTCTCAATATGAAAATGGGGAACAATAAACTACCTACAACTTCAAAGGTTCAATGAAGCCTTCATAAGGCCCTTATAATGCCCACATAAATGCTTCACCTATTATTCCGTGGGGATGTTTCTATGTGGCTCTGTGTATCTGTACTGCATGTTCCTCTGTGTCCTGCTGTATCTTACCCTGTGTCCTGTATTCTCCCAGGTTTTGACGGACGGTCCGGTGTTCCCGGAGCTAAGGGCGAGCGCGGTACAGATGGCTACCCCGGAACGCCAGGTCTTCCCGGACTTCCTGGAGAGGGCAGACTGGGTGGATTTCCCGGTCCTGCCGGACCACCCGGAAGGAAAGGATTAACCGGATCTCCAGGTGAGAGTCGGAATGCAGGGAATGTCATAGGATTTCCGGAATTTTGTGAATGTTAGTGAATGTTGTCATTAATCCATTGAATCAATTGATTCCAGATCCTAGATATCTCCTAGTCGTTGGTGTCTTTCATTTTAGCCCACAGAGAGAACACTCAGACTCTCTCCTCCATGCCTGTGTGTTGATTGTGAATGCTCCCCACCACTCCTCTTCTTTATTGATATGTTCTCTCTATTTTTATTTTTATGACCTTCAGTTTGTTAGCCTGTAAATCCACTGGTTGCCTGTTTGTGATCTCCAAAAGCATTTCTTTTCACCTCTCATTTTCTTTTCCATCTTCTCTTCCTTCTCCTCCTTCTTCCTCTCTTCCTACACCATCATCTACATCCATCCTATCATCCTTCCATCCCTCTCTTCTTGGTGATTGGTCTCTCCCTAGGCTGTCAAGGTGAGCTACTCCCTTCCCTTCATCCTTCGCTCCGTCTTAGACCAGTCGCTCTAACCTCCCTCCCTTCTTGCCTCCTCCGCCCATCTTACCAACTCTAAATGCTCCTTGGGATTTGGAATTCCCCATTTTAGAACAACTGGCTTCTAGAACTGTTCTAAACCTTGAGCATTTGAGTCCAAAGAAAGAGATGTACAAAAATAGAAAGTTGTTCAACCTCATAGTACTTTTTCAGGTAGCACTAATCTTATAGGTGCAATCTTAGTGTTGGATCTCTACTAAACCTAGGATTGCAAATTTCCGGTAACTTTCCCAAAACTCTCTGGTTTTCCAAAAATCCTGGTTAGAAGATTCCCTGATTTCCTGCTTATTCCCTTCTGATTCCATGGATCTTCCAACAAGGATTTCTGGAAATCCTGGGAATTTTACCAGAATTTTGCAACCCTAACTAAACATAACTTAAGCCTTGCTGGCAGCAAGTGTGTGTATCGCTGTAACATTGATAGGCTTGTGTGAACCCTTACCTCATCTTAACCATCCAACCCACTCACCTCAACCTACGAGCCTAAAAGCCTGTTCTAGAAACATCTAGAAGACAGAAAACATAGAAGGCTTTCTAGAGGGTATTTATTATGTGGTTGAGCGATCTAATTTTACTCTGGAATTGCACTTGAGTGTACAGTATATTTTATCATGAATATTGGCATGATCATTTTTCATCCCTTGATAAGGGATTTGAATGTAACCTGTAACTATGTAAACCAGCAGGAATAATTTACATTGATCAATCTCATATTCCATACTTTTTCTCAATTTAAGTGCAATTGCAGCTTAAACTAGGTCATGAAACAATGTAACTGAACATGTATTTACATTGTTGTTCACATGACTTGTTTGCATTCTGAACTACAATAATTAAGCGACAAAGCCCGAGGGGGTGTGGTATATGGCCAATATACACTATATATACAAACGTATGTGGACACCCCTTCAAATTAGTGGATTCGGCTATTTCAGCCACACCCGTTGCTGACACGTATAAAATCGAGCACACAGCCATGCAATCTCCATAGACAAACATTGGCAGTACTGAAGAGCTCAGAGATTTTCAACGTGGCACTGTCATAGGATGCCACCTTTCCAACAAGTCAGTTTGTAAAATGTCTGCCCTGCTAGAGCTGCCCCGGGTAACTGTAAGTGCTGTTATTGTGAAGTGGAAACGTCTAGGAGCAACAACGGCTCAGCCGTGAATTGGTAGACCACACAAGCTCACAGAACAGGACCGCCGAGTACTGAAGCGCGTAGCGCGTACAAATCGTCTGTCCTCGGTTGCAACACTCACTACCGAGTTCCAAACTGCCTCTGGAAGCAACATCAGCACAAGAACTGTTCATCTGGAGCTTCATGAAATGGGTTTCCATGGCCGAGCAGCCGCACACAAGCCTAAGTTCACCATGGAAACCCATAGGAAACGCGTTCTCTGGAGTGATGAATCACGCTTCACCATCTGGCAATCTGACGGACAAATCTGGGTTTGGTGGTTGCCAGGAGAATGCTACCGGTACCAATGCATAGTGCCAACTGTAAAGTTTGGTGGAGGAAGAATAATGGTCTGGGGCTCTTTTTCATGGTTCGGGCTAGGCCCCTTAGTTCCAGTGAAGGGAAATCTTAACGCTACAGCATACAATGACATTCTAGACGATTCTATCCTTCCAACTGTGTGGCAAACAGTTTGGGGAAGGCCCTTTCCTGTTTCAGCATGACAATGCCCCAGTGCACAAAGCAAGGTCCATACAGAAATGGTTTGTCGAGATCGGTGTGGAAGAACTTGACTGCCTGCACAGAGCCCTGACCTCAACCCCATCGAACACCTTTGGGATGAATTGGAACGCCGACTGCGAGCCAGGCCTAATCGCCCAACATCAGTGCCGACCTCACTAAAGCTCTTGTGGCTGAATGGAAGCAAGTTCCCACAGCAATGTTGCAACATCTAGTGGAAAGCCTTGCCAGAAGAGTGGAGGCTGCAGGTGAGCAGGTGTCCACATACTTTTGGTCATGTAGTGTACAACAGCTAAGTGCTGTTATTATGCGCGATGCAACACGGAGAGCCTGGATACAGCCCTTAACCGTGGTATATTGGTCATATAGCACAAACCCCCAAGGTGCCTTATTGCTATTATAAAATAAATGTTTTGTCATACTCGTGGTATACGGTCTGATATACAACGGCTGTCAGCCAATCAGCATTCAGGGCTTGAACCACCCAGTTTATAATGTCATTTAGATACTGAATATGATTGTAGTAGTAATAATAATAATAATAATAATAATAATAATGTCAATTCAAGGTAAGTTGTGTTTATAACAGTGCAATAAAGGTAAGTTTTGATTATAAAAGTATAATATGGGTAAGTTTGGTTATTTTTATGTCATATGAATATATTTTTACTTTAATCTAATGTACTCCATTGATTCCCATAGGAAAGAGTTAGGCCTGACTCTCTGTTCTCTCCATCCCTGCCCAGGCTACCCCGGTGTGAAGGGAGCCAGAGGTGACGCAGGCTTCCCAGGCCCAGCTGGGATGAAGGGACAACCAGGAGAACCAGGAGGCGATGGCCCTCCAGGACTCAGGGATCTTCCAGGACCACCGGGCCCCGGGGGAAGAGACGGCATCCCTGGGGGACCAGGAAGAAAGGGTAGGGTGGTGGTGGATAACCAAACATACACAGCTCCATAGCTAACTTCCAAGCCAAGGTAGGGTGGACACTCATAATAGTGCAAATCTCAAATTACATCATTCAGTGCACTACTTGCCAAGTCGGGCACTTGGCATTTTTAGAGAGATGAATAGATTAATTGGACCCATACCCACTATTGCTCTATTGATGTTTATTTGGCTTGAAAATGTTGATGTAGAGTGGATATCAGTCAGATCCACTAGCCATTTTCTAATCATCATTCTTTTCCTGTTCACAGGCGAGAACGGTTTCCCCGGACTGGTGGGTTTCCCCGGAATGCCAGGTAACCCTGGAAGACCTGGTGGTCCAGGAGGGAAAGGAGCTCCTGGATTCTCAGGAAGAGAAGGTCTGCCCGGAGACTTCGGAGCACCAGGACCTAAAGGTACAGGATTGGGAATGACAGAACTAATGGAATGATGACAAGGGAGTGGATAGGGAGTAGATTTTCATTTGAATCTGACATGATGAATAGTCTCACAGTACTTTTTTGGTTTAGTTTCACAAAAGAATGTACTGGGCTTGCTCAAACCCTATGGCGTAGAAGAAACACTAATTGTATTATTTGGTTCAAAGAGAAACTGAACGACGTGGCTTCTTTCTCTGTGTGTGTATGTTCCAGGTGACAGAGGTGACACTGGTCTCCCCGGCGCACCCTCTCTGCCCGTCAGAGTTGAGTACATTGAGAAGGGACAGAGGGGCGACAATGGTGCCAACGGTCTACCCGGTTTCCCTGGACCTAGAGGTAGGTGGTAGGCTACAAATCAAAATCGTCATCCATTTTGTGCCAAATGTGTGTCACCAACAAGGTCTTACATCTGCCATTTTGTGCCAAACGTGTGCCACCAACCTAGGCTGAAGATAACAAAGGTTAAGACAAGAGGGTTCTAATATCCCATAACTCTTTGCATAAATGCAGAAGATTTCTAAACAATTGGACCAGAGATGCTAGTTATTAACGGCGCTTGTCCCATGAATTTCTTTCTTTTCAAAAGCTTCCTTTTGGAATTATTAGGTTGTCCTAACCTGGATATCTTCAACCTAGCCACCATCAAGCTCCTGCAGCAGCCATTTTGTGTTAAATGCTCTTCACCAACAAGCTCCTGCAGCAGCCATTTTGTGCCAAACGTGTGTCACCAACAAGCTCCTGCAGCCGCCATTTTAGATAAAATGCTCATCACCAACAAGTGCCTTCAGCTGCCATTAAGGATCAAATGCTCATCACCAACAAACTCCTACATCCTCCATGTTGTGCCTCCCTGTCCCCAGGTGACAAGGGTTTCCCAGGGCAGCCTGGTCGTCAGGGATTGCCCGGGCTGCCTGGTTATGCTGACAGGGCTAAAGGAGAACCAGGACTTCCTGGTCTCCCTGGACGCCCAGCCGGGCCAGGCTACCCAGGACCTAAAGGATCTCCCGGTATCATCGGCTTCCCTGGCATGCCTGGACCTAGGGTAGGCATATACACCACCATACAAAGAGGTTAAGAGTGACTTTGTAGGCAGTAGACAGAAGTGGCAGTTGATGTTATACTGAGTTTGACATATTATTTTTCTGTAGGGTGACGATGGCGAACCTGGCTTCCCTGGAAACCCTGGAGTCCCTGGTCAGCCAGGTGCTAAAGGTGAGTGGCTGTCACGTCACCTGTCGTATACCTACCTGTGAACCTCATGTCATCTTACTGTACCTGTGTCGGTCTCTTCCGTGTGCTATTCTCTTAACTGTATTCTCTTACCTATTGTATTCTGTTATCTCTGCCATTCTTTCCTGTATTTTTCAGTGTAAATGTTTTATATTGGTTAAGTTCTTTCCTGTATCTTTTCAGTGTAGGGGTTTTGTATTGGTTAAGTTCTTACCTGTAAATTGTATGGTTCTCAGGTGAGAGAGGTGACTCGTCCGGCTACCCCGGTGGTCCGGGAGCTAAAGGTGAGGCCGGAACCCCTGGTTACTCAGGTGGCCCAGGTGCTAAAGGCGCCCCCGGGGACAACGGTTTCCCAGGCGGCCCTGGGTTCAGCGGACAGAAGGGAGCACTGGGAGATTCAGGAAGACCCGGACTCACGGGTGAGTGGGGATGATAATGTCACTGGAAGTGATGTCATAAAGGTCACACAGATGAATCAAGTCACAGGAAAGAAACCTCCTTATCATTATTCATCTATTCTTTACATTTGTGCTCACACATGTTCCCTGGTGTGTTTTTTGGGGTCCCCCCTTCTCAGGTACCCCTGGTTTCACTGGCGGTAAGGGTCTGAACGGATACCCAGGAGGAAGAGGTCTAGATGGGACGCCTGGCCGCCCCGGCTCCCCTGGAACATCTGGAGAGAAAGGTTTGTTTAGACACACACACTGAACCATAGTCTCCTCTAGCTTTTCCATACCACACATTACCGTTTGTAATACAACATCATTGGCCTGAGAGAAAATAGTTCCTTCTCTATCTTAAACTGACATGGCCCGCTCTGACATAACTTTAGTACAATGTCATTTATTGAAGTTGATATTATAATGCAATAATAGTGTTCTTTCTCAAGGTCTGCCAGGATCTCCTGGTCTTGATGGGCTCAACGGACTGGCTGGACCCAAGGGTCTACCAGGAACCCCAGGTTATAGTGAGGGGGGTCGTCCCGGCACCCCTGGCGTGGCTGGTCTGAAGGGAGAGAGGGGCTCCTCCATCCCAGGAGGACCTGGGTACAATGGAGAGAAGGGAGCTAGAGGAGAGTCAGGTGAGAAAGATCACTCAATCCGTCAATCAAATAATCAATCAAGTGTATTTTATAGCCCTTTTTCATATCGGCAGTAGTCACTAAGTGCTTTACAGATAGCCGGCCTACAACCCCAAAGAGCAAGCAATGCAGAGGTGGAAGCACAGATGAGCATAGATGAGTAACGTTGAGTAACCTTGATGAGTAACGTGATGACCGACTTCAACCCTAACCTTGCCTATAGACTTGTGTTTGCTCCCCGAGCTAATGCATATGCTTTAGCTCAGCGGGCAAAAACAGTCTTGTGGTGTGCAGAAGACCAAGGTTTCGAACACCGGTCGTTCACACAGACATAGATAATATACAGTGCCTTCGGAAAGTATTCAGACCCCTTGACTTTTTCCACTTTTTGTTACTTTACAGCCTTATTCTAAAATGTATGAAATTGTTTTATTTATTTATCACATTTGTGATCGACTGCCTCGATTCGGTCTTATGTAGCAACATTTGAAATTGTGTTTTTTTACATTGGATAAAAGTAGAGACTCAGAGCTAGAAAATTGTATATCATGCAGTTGAGGAACAATGGGAAAGTAATTCTGCTTTGAAAGTTGATAAACTTTTGAGAAAATGGCGCTTGAATGTTTTGGTACACCTACTGGAGAGCTCTTCTTCTGTCTACACCCATTCAGCATCGTTCATACCCTCTTAAGCCTTAGTCCGACCCATCTCTTTAAGGATTCACATGTGAGGCCATGTGGTAAACAGTCTATATCAAATAAAATCTACGTTTATTTGTCACATGCACAGGACACAGAAGGTATAAATCGTACAGTGATAGTACTTGCAATATCAAAAACAGGAAGTGTCCAGATAAAAATATGTTATAAATATTTTATCGTTATTAGATTACGCTTACCCGACACACTTGTCTAAATTGATGGGTAATGTGAAGGAAATGCTATAACCACCCCTCACCCACATCTAGCTAAGTGGATGGGTCACTATTGTCTAGACATGTACACATGTTCATGAAATACAATCGATGGCCGTAATCACCCCCAGACACACCTGCTAATTTGATGGGTCATGTAATAATACGGGCGAAGTGGAGTCTTTTGTTTAGACATTAGCTAGGTAGATAGCTAGCTAAACAATGAACCGGCATAATCCCAACTCACACTACTACCAATACAAACATTGTCATAGCTGTAGTATGAATCTGCAGGTAGCTAAAGCTAACAAACTAGGTGCAACGTTAACTAGCTAACATTAGGCTATAACTAGCAATGCAAATGGATTTCTGATTCAAATAATATTACTACACAGATCATACACGTAATGTTAGCTAGCAAGCCAGCAAGCTAATGTTTGCTAGCTAACTAACAGTATGCTTTAACTTGCAATAAAAATGACTTTGACAAAATTAGAAACTTGTAGATAGACTCTTACCCGTATACATGGATGAATGCTTCACGGCAGACTGGAACCATTTAACTCAGTTTTGTTTGTAGCAACATCTTGTTTAGCCAGCTTTGTGTCAAGTCACTCCGGTTCACACTGACCGTGGCGTGTGCAGAAAGTTCCCTACCTTCTCCCCTTTCCACCTGCCTCCTACATTTTTGCGGTAATGCTGCAGTCAATTTGTTGTAATTTTGGATACAGCAGAAATGTCCATATATTTTTGTTAACTGCATGTATGACTTAACTCCACCAGTCCTATTTATGATATCATTTACAAAGATTATATATATTATAATTTTTTATTACAAAAATAATGTTTTTTTTAATCAATTAGTATATTTGAGTTTAACCATAATATTTGTTGTGATATTTGTTCTGTCTTTTCTGGTGTATTAAACTGAAATTGCAACCAGCTTTCTATGGCTTGTTTTAAAAGTAGCGATATTTTTGAGATTATTTCATTTTCAAATAACCGACAGTGAGAGGTTGTAATCTGAATGAAGGGAAAAAGGCCATTCTTGAACAAGGGGTGAGCAATTCTTACTAATCTGCTAGAGAACCAGTTTGGATTTAATTATAGTTTTTGTATGCCTTTAGTGAGAGGTACAATGCTTTCATATTTAATAATTGTAGTCCTCCGAATTCATATTCATTATATAAAAAGGGCCCGTTTAATTTTGTCTGGCTTGTCGTTCCAAATAAAGTAGAACATTTTTTGCTCATATAATTTAAAAACACAAATCTTTAGGTGTAGGCAGGGCCATAAGTAAATAGGTAAACTGGGATATGACTAAATTTTTCCACAAATAGACAGGTGTTGGTAGCAAGATCTTATCTAATTTGGCTAACTGTCTATTAAAATGTATTGTAGTGAGATCATTTCTTCTTTTGGGATATGAATACCGAGTATGTCCACTTCACCGTCGGACCATTTTATTGGTAAACTACACGGTAATGTACAGTGAGGGAAAAAAGTATTTGATCCCCTGCTGATTTTGTACGTTTGCCCACTGACAAAGACATGATCAGTCTATAATTTTAATGGTAGGTTTATTTGAACAGTGAGAGACAGAATAACAACAACAAAATCCAGAAAAACGCATGTCAAAAATGTTATAAATTGATTTGAATTATAATTAGGGAAATAAGTATTTGACCCCTCTGCAAAACATGACTTAGTACTTGGTGGCAAAACCCTTGTTGGCAATCACAGAGGTCAGACGTTTCTTGTAGTTGGCCACCAGGTTTGCACACTTCTCAGGAGGTATTTTGTCCCACTCCTCTTTGCAGATCTTCTCCAAGTCATTAAGGTTTCGAGGCTGACGTTTGGCAACTCGAACCTTCAGCTCCCTCCACAGTTTCTATGGGATTAAGGTCTGGAGACTGGCTAGGCCACTCCAGGACCTTAATGTGCTTCTTCTTGAGCCACTCCTTTGTTGCCTTGGCCATGTGTTTTGGGTCATTGTCATGCTGGAATACCCATCCACGACCCATTTTCAATGCCCTGGCTGAGGGAAGGAGGTTCTCACCCAACATTTGACGGTAAATGGCGCCGTCCATCGTCCCTTTGATGCGGTGAAGTTGTCCTGTCCCCTTAGCAGAAAAATATCCCCAAAGTATAATGTTTCCACCTCCATGTTTGACGGTGGGGATGGTGTTCTTGGGGTCATAGGCAGCATTCCTCCTCCTCCAAATACGGCGAGTTGAGTTGATGCCAAAGAGCTCGATTTTGGTCTCATCTGACCACAACACTTTCACCCAGTTTTCCTCTGAATCATTCAGATGTTCATTGGCAAACTTCAGACGGGCCTGTATATGTGCTTTCTTGAGCAGGGGGACCTTGCGGGCGCTGCAGAATTTCAGTCCTTCACGGCATAGTGTGTTACCATTGACAAGATCCTCCCGTGTAGTTCTGGGCTGATTCCTCACCGTTCTCATGATCATTGCAACTCCACAAGGTGAAATCTTGCATGGAGCCCCAGGCCGAGGGAGATTGACAGTCCTTTTGTGTTTCTTCCATTTGCGAATAATCGCACCAACTGTTGTCACCTTCTCACCAAGCTGCTTGGCGATGGTCTTGTAGCCCATTCCAGCCTTGTGTAGGTCTACAATCTTGTCCCTGACATCCTTGGAGAGCTCTTTGGTCTTGGCCATGGTGGAGAGTTTGGAATCTGATTGATTGTTTCTGTGGACAGGTGTCTTTTTATTTAGGTAACAAACTGAGATTAGGAGCACTCCCTTTAAGAGTGTGCTCCTAATCTCAGCTCGTTACCTGTATAAAAGACATCTGGGAGCCATAAATCTTTCTGATTGAGAGGGGGTCAAATACTTATTTCCCTCATTAAAATGCAAATCAATTTATAACATTTTTGACATGTGTTTTTCTGTATTATTTTGTTGTTATTCTGTTACTCACTGTTCAAATAAACCTACCATTAAAATTATAGACTGATCATTTCTTCTTCAGTGGGCAAACGTACAAAATCAGCAGGGGATCAAATACTTTTTTCCCTCATTGTAAAAGTTATCATTTGGTTTTAATCCAGAGAGGTTAGAGAAAGTATCTAGATCAGGGGTGTCAAACGTCCGATCCGCGGGCCGGATCAGGCCCGCAAACGGGTTTAATCCGGCCCGCGAGATGATTTTGGAATAAAAAAATAAAAAAAAAAATAAAAAATGTGTAAAGTATAAAAATGAGCTGCAATTTTTCAATAAAATAAACTGCTGTTCCAATTGCGTCCACTCGATGGCGCAATAGCAATTGTGTTAAGCAAGCAAACTGTTTATACCGGGGCAGAGCAAGTAGGTCAAGCACGTGCAGCCAATGTGCTACTTTGTTTTGCCCGCGATATTTATTACGGCTTCTACTTTTAACATTATGTGCTTTGGCACCCTCATTGCCTCAATATGTCTCTGTCGAAAAAGAGAAAAGTGGACGCAGAGTGCAGTGTTCCAAGAAAAATGGTCATCCTATTTATTCACGGAATTGAATGGGAAAGCTGTATGTTTGGTGTGTTCAGAGCATGTTGCAGTGCTGAAAGAATATAACCTTCGTCGCCACTATGTGAGTCTTCATGCCGACAAATATGACAACTTTCAAGGACAGCGGAGAAGAGAGAAGGTGAATGAACTGTTGGCGGGTCTGAAGAAACAGCAGTCTGTGTTTACTCACAGCCGAGACATCAGTGACGCTGCAGTGAAAGCTAGCTACCTCATTGCTAATGAAATCGCAGTGGCTTCAAAACCATTTAGTGAGGGTGAATTTGTAAAAACATGCATGATGAAGGCAGCGGAGATTGTGTGCCCTGAAAAGCGGCAGGCTTTTGCAAATATCAGCCTGACAAGAAACACAGTTGCAGACAGGATTTCCGATCTTTCAGTGGATTTGGACAGCCAGTTGAAGCAAAAAGTAAAGTCATTTATTGCGTTTTCGGTTGCAATTGATGAAAGCACGGACATTACAGATGTTGCACAACTGGCCATTTTCATCCGCGGAGTTGATAACACATTGACCGTCACCGAGGAGTTCGTGGAGTTGGTGCCGATGACAGATACAACGATAGCAGCTGATATTTTTACCGCACTCGTCGGCGCGCTGGACAGGGTCGGAGTGGACTGGTCCCGCGCTGTCAGCCTGGCTACAGATGGTGCGCCCTCAATGATCGGGAAAAAAGCAGGCGTTGTGACAAAGTTCAGAGAGAAAGTGCAATCTGCAAATGGAGGACGTGATTTTTTTACTTTTCACTGTATTTTGCACCAGGAGGCTTTGTGTTGCAAGTCATTAAAGATGGATAACGTCATGAAGGTGGTCATCCAAACTGTTAATTTCATCTGATCCAGAAGCCTGAATCACCGTCAGTTTGACAGCCTTCTCAGAGAGAAAGACCACATCTATGGCCTGCCATACCACACTGAGGTAAGATGGTTAAGCCGAGGTGCTGTGCTGAGGCGTTTCTTTGATTTACGAGAAGAAATTGAACAGTTCATGGAAGAAAAGGGCAAACCAGTGTTAGAATTTCATTCCGCAGAATGGATGCAGGACCTTGCATTTATGGTGGATGTTACAGAGCACCAGAATAACTTGAACAAACAGCTGCAAGGGCGCAACAAAATTGTCACGCAGTATTATGACAGCATACGTTCTTTCAAGTTGAAGCTGTCATTGTGGGAGACGCAACTTGCCGGTGGTGATGCAGCTCAATTCCCCTGTCTGAAAAATGTGTACGCGACCCAACATGTGGCAGACATGAAGCGGTTCAAAGATAAAATAACGGGACTGTTACGGGAGTTTGAGCAACGCTTTCAGATTTATGTTTATATGTTTTTATGTTGATGTGCTATTGTTTTTAATTGATTTTATTTGTATATTTAACCTATTCTTGACTCTGTGGTTCTTGCACTGGTTTGGGGAACAGGATTTCATTCTTTTTATCTACATTTCTGCCTGAGAAATGACACCCTGATATAGTTCTGTGATCTGTGAAACAGTTCTGTTAATCACTGAGGCATTGTGTGTTTGTGTGTTCTTTTTCTTTAGAATTTTCAAATAAACTTGACGTGTTTTATGATTAATAGTGATGTTGTGCTTGTACTATTTTGGACACACTGTCCTCAGGCTCCAGCTTTATGTTGTATGTTGATCGTATTAAAACAAAGAAAACAATCTGAAGTTGTTGTTTTTAAGTTATTTATACCATGATTTTTCCGGTCCGGCCCACTTGGGAATAGATTTTCCTCCATGTGGCCCCTGAGCTAAAATGAGTTTGACACCCCTGATCTAGATCCTCTATGAGGCTGTGCAGGAATCCAACCTCTCACAGCTTTGTTTTTAAGCCCTGGATTTCTAGCCCCTTGATATTATTGTTGGATCTGATATTAATAGCTAACATTTCGATGTCCATAATAAATAGATATGCCGATAGTGGACAACCTTGTTTTACTCCTGTTGACAGTTTAATACCTTCTGAGAAGTAGCCATTATTTACTATTTTACACCTGGGGTTACTATACATAACTTTAACCCATAGTATAAGAGATTCTCGTAAATTAAAATAGTCCAGGCATTTATTTTTATTTAACCTTATTTAACTAGGCAAGTCAGTTAAGTGGTCCTCTGTAGCTCAATTGGTAGAGCATGGCGCTTGTAACGCCAGGGTAGTGGGTTCGATCCCCGGGACCACCCATACGTAAAAATGTATGCACACATGACTAAGTCGCTTTGGATAAAAGCGTCTGCTAAATGGCATATTATATTATATTATTAAGAACAAATTCTTATTTACAATGATGGCTTATCAAAAGGCAAAAGGCCTCCTGCGGGGACGGGGGCTGGGATTAAAAATGTAAATATAGGACAAAACACACATCACGACAAGAGACACCACAACACTACATAAATAGAGACCTAAGACAACAACATAGCATGGCAGCAACTATATAATTTATCAATTCCAGTCGTGCTTTATCAAAGGCCTTTTCAAAGTCAGTAATGAATACCATGCCTGGTTTCCCAGATTTTTCATAGTGTTCTATTGTTTCCAGTACTTGTCTTATATTATCTCCAATGTATCATCGATGTAAAAAACCTGTCTGATTAGGATGAATAATGTCTGACAATACCTTTTTAATTGTATGCGCTATGCATTTTGCTAGGATTTTGCCATCACAACACTGAAGTGTAAGGGGCCTCCAGTTTTTTAGGTGGACTGAATCTTTATATTTACCACCTGGGTCCTGTTTCAGTAATATTGAAATCAGACCTTGCTGAGTATCCGATAGTCTACCATTTTTATAGGAGTGGTTAAAACATGCTAATAACGGACCTCTGAGTACATCGAAAAAAGGTTTGATATGCCTCAACTGGTATGCCATCCAGCCTGGAGTTTTCCCGGACTTAAAGGCTTTAATTGTATCAAGTTCCTCCTCTGTAATTTGACCTCCATGAGTCTTTCTGAACAACTGTTAATTTTACACTATTAACATAAATATAATCCTTACAATTAACTTCAGTTAGTGTGTAACAGGTTTCTGTAAATTATTTTTGGTAGCATTTCTGTGTTGAAGATTAAAAAATAATATATTCCATCGAGTTTGCTTTATTTATTATAATATATTACACTTGACCTTTCTTGAATAAATTCCTCCAGTTCTTTTAGTTTTTCCTCTAACTTATTATGTGCCTCTATGGGACAGTTTTTATTGCTATCTCTCTGTATTGTTACTTCCTCTATTTCCTTTGTTAATATAAACAGTTTCTACCTAAATATCTTTTGTTTTAAATATGAGTATTGAATTGCATGGCCTCTAAAAGGCACATTTAAAAGTGTCCCATACAATAAGGGGATCTGCTGTACCTGTGTTATGTAGGAAAAAGTCAGTTATAAATTATTCTGTCTTGGTTAAAAACAAGTTGTCTTCCAGTAGGCTCTGATAAAATGTCCAATATCCTCGCACTCCCGGAAATTCTGTAAGAGTAATGTATATACCAATTATTTGATGGTCCGACCACATTCTGTCCCCTATCAACACTCTTAACTTTTGGTGGCAGCGAGAATAACATAAGAAAGTAGTCAAGATGACTAGCTTGATTGAGCCTCCGCCATCCATGATTTCCTTAAGTGCATGAGGGTGATAGTTTGATAGTTTATGGTCCATAATATATTTGTTAGTGCACTATTCCCTGTAATAGTGCACTACTTTTGACCAGAGTCTGTTTCTAAAGCAGAAACAGTGAGGCACCTAGGGTAACGTGTGTGTGTTGATGCTGACCCCAACTCTTGTCTGGATGTCAGGGGGTCCTGGTATGACGGGCTTCCCAGGTCTGCCTGGTCCTCGCGGGGAGACGGTCGATTCTAACATCCCTGGACCACTGGGAAATCCTGGCCTTCCTGGAATCGATGGAGAACAAGGTAATTTAACCCTTCATTTGGCCCTTTATAAAACTATAGATTGACCAGCTGAGATTTGTCTCCTCCTTATATTCCTCTGTCTCACTTTCCTCCTCTTTCTTCCATGTTCTTCTCCTCCTTTCTACTTTCCCCTCTTATCTCTTTCCTCCTTCCATCTCTCCATCTCTTACCACTCTATATCTATACCTAGTTCACTGAGTGTTAAATTACTAACATCTCCTCTCTCCTCTATCCGTTCCTCCAGGTTGTCCTCTTCTCCTTCTCTTTCTCTCAAATTCTCCCTCTGAGTCATCTCTCCTTCTCCTCCCTCCATCTAAATCCAACACTCTATAGACCTCTATACTGTAGCTAGTTCACTCTTGTGTTAATTGTTTATGGTCGGATCCTCCAGGTTACCGTGGTCCTCCAGGCCCCCCAGGCCCACCTGGGCCCGGTACAACCCAGGGAGACAGAGGCGACGCTGGGCTATCTGGCATCCCTGGTACCCCTGGTAACCGTGGAGACCCTGGGGGTCCAGGTGGCATAGGACGGGACGGAAACCCTGGATTCAAAGGTACAGGGATGACAAATCAATGTACTGTAATATCCATCAGAATGTGATTTGAAAGCAAGGTACAGTGATGATGGCTCTCAGAATGAGGATGATTACCCTGATTGGGTCAACAATAGGGTTTCAAAAAAGGCTGCTTTATTTAAAGTAAGAGTCACGTTTGAATATCAACCTAAATTGGATGTTGATCTGAAACGTACAATTTCTCTGATGGGCACATTTGTTGACAACTCAATAAAGTATCAACCAGAATTGGATGTTGATCTGACATTTTCTTACCCGATAGTTGGTGTACCATGTACCATGTGTCTGATGGGGCTTGTTGTTAATGTTGTTGTTGTTGTGTTGCCCAGGAACGAGAGGTGACTCTGGGTACAGTGGAGCTTCAGGACAAAAGGGCTTCCCTGGAGATCCAGGATACTATGGAGGGAAAGGACCCAAAGGAAGGAGAGGTGAGAGACTTATCATTTTAACACACATTGATCTTGAAGATGAAACACTTGTCTTTGTAAATTTGATCAATTCATTGTAAAAAATGTACCTCTCATTTTGCTTTCTCTTTCTCTCTCTCTCTACCCCCCTCTCTCTCTCAATTCAATTCAATTTAAGGGGCTTTATTGGCATGGGAAACATATGTTTACATTGCCAAAGCAAGTGAAATAGATGATAAACAAAAGTGAATTAAACAATAAATATATTAACAGTAAAAATTACACTCACAAAAGTTCAAAAATAATAAAGACATTTCAGGTGTCATTATGTCTATATACAGTGTTGTAATGATGTGCAAATAGTTAAAGTACAAAAAGGAAAATAAATAAACACAAATATAGGTTGTATTTACAATGGTGTTTGTTCTTCACTGGTTGCTCTTTTCTTATGGCAACAGGTCACAAATCTTGCTGCTGTGATTGCACACTGTGGTATTTCACCCAATAGATATGGGAGTTTATCCAAATTGGATTTGTTTTCAAATTCTTTGTGGGTCTGTGTAATCTGAGGGAAGTATGTGTCTCTAATATGGTCATACATTTGGCAGAAAGTTAGGAAGTGCAGCTCAGTTTCCACCTCATTTTGTGGGCAGTGTGCACATAGCCTGTCTTCTCTTGAGAGCGAGGTCTGACTATGGCGGCCTTTCTCAATAGCAAGGTTATGCTCACTGAGTCTGTACATAGTCAAAGATGTCCTTAATTTTGGGTCAGTCACAGTGATCAGGTATTCTGCCACTGTGTACTCTCTGTTTAGGGCCAAATAGCATTCTAGTTTGCGCTGTTTTTTTGTTAATTCTTTCCAATGTGTCAAGTAATTATATTTCTGTTTTCCCCCTCCTTTCCCCTCCTCACACCTCTCTCCCTCCCCCTCTAGGTAATTCTGGTAATAAGGGACCCCCAGGTATAATTTTCCCCGGGCCGAACATCCAGATAACCTATGGAGACATGGGAGGCCCCGGGGCCAACGGAGCTCCAGGGGCCGTGGGAGAACCAGGCAATCCCGGCATGCCAGGCAGAGCTGGTAAGTAGCCCACTTAGAACACTTGAGTAACCTACTGGGACTATATTCACAAAGCATCTCAGAGAAAGAGTACTGATCTAGGATCGGTTTTGCCTTGTGTGGATTCAGACTAACCACAGTCACCCCCTAATCCCAGATCTAGGATCAGTTTACACTACCCTGATCCAAACCTGACCCATTAGGGATTAAAACATGAAGTAACATCAGATCCTCATCCTCTGTTCCAGGTCCTAAAGGCAGGCCTGGTGGGGTGGGGAAGCTGGGGAGGAACGGAGGGTCAGGTCTGGATGGACCTCTGGGAGGCTCTGGTCCTCCTGGTTTCCCTGGACCTACCGGGTCACAAGGTATGTATGTGTGTGTGTGTGTGTGTGAGAGAGAGAGAGAGAGCATGAGTGTGTATACCGTCTACAGTATATTTGCCTACTGTGAGTATGTTTGTGTATCTAGAATGTCTGTATGTGAATCCATCTGAACACACATCGACCTCTATACAACATGACAAGTCTTACATTGCTTTATAACCGCATCATAATGCATTATAGCCGGAGGTTTTAAGTAAAGTGTTACCCAACATTTGAACCTTTACTACTTACATACTCCCTCCCATCTTCTCCCCTCCCCTCTCTTTTCACCTCCCCTCCTCCCCTCTCCTCTCCCCCTCCCCCCCAGGTCTGCCCGGTAAGCCCGGCCTGCAGGGTCCCCCAGGTAGTGTGGCACGCAGCAGGAGTATTGGCTACACTCTGGTGAAGCACAGTCAGAACAACCAGGTGCCCATGTGTCCTCAGGGCATGGCTCAGCTCTGGGAAGGATACAGTCTGCTGTATGTGGAGGGGCAAGAGAAGGCCCATAACCAGGACCTCGGTGCGTCACACACATGCTTGCACACACACCCACACGCACGCACACACACACACACACACAAGGGCAACATGAGCGATTATACGATTCGGGCAGGCAGAGCGACCTACAAAACTTGCGGAAAGCTAAACTTTATATCTCCCCTCCCCTATCTCTCCCCCCTCTCTCCCTCCTCTTCCAGGTATGGCGGGCTCCTGCCTTCCCCGTTTCAGCACTGTCCCCTTCCTGTACTGCACGCCCAACGAGATCTGCTATTACGCCAGCCGCAATGACAAGTCCTTTTGGCTGTCCACCACGGCGCCCATCCCCATGATGCCGGTAGGAGAGGAGGCCATCAGCCAGTACATCAGCAGGTGCTCCGTGTGCGAGGCCTACTCACAGGCTGTAGCTGTCCACTCACAGGACCTCACCATTCCCACCTGCCCTGCCGGCTGGAGGTCCCTCTGGATCGGGTACTCCTTCCTCATGGTGAGTTAGGGGGGATTAAGGCCAGATTCAATCCACTGTGCATTATAGAGCACTGTCGCCCAAAGTGTCTTTTAAAGCCAATATTCCTGCGTTTGAGATCACATTCATGGTAAACGCTGAAGATGTCGGCTCAATCGTAAATTACCTTTAAATATCAAGCACGCTTTGAATTCTGGCCTATATTCTATTCTCTAATGAAAGCTAGTTCACTACCCAATAACTCTATAGTCGAAACCACCATCTAGAAACGAACACCTAGATCTTATCTGGTCCCCTCCCCTCTCTCCCTTCCCCCCCATACAGCACACTGCTGCCGGGGCTGAGGGCGGCGGCCAGTCCCTGGTATCTCCAGGGTCCTGTCTTGAAGACTTCCGCGCCACGCCCTTCATCGAGTGTAACGGGGCCAAGGGCACCTGCCACTACTTTGCCAACAAGTACAGCTTCTGGCTGACCACGGTTGAGCCTAACCGGGAGTTCGACCCCCCTCCGATGGACACACTGAAGGGAGGCAACCAACGCAGCCGAGTCAGTCGCTGTCAAGTCTGCAGCAAGATCTTGTAGCTGGGATAAGAGTTGAAGATGGAGAGATAGAGAGAAGATATGGAAAATGAAAGAGAGAGAGACTGAAACAACAAAGGAGAGGGTAATGATTACTTATCAGAAAGAAAAAGAGAGATGGAGTAATTGAAATTATATTAAAAATAAAAAATAAACTTTGACTGAATTTGAGCACCTCTCCTGCGTCATCTAGGGGTCTCACTAGGAGTGTGAGAGGGTCCTGAAGGAGCCGACGAGGGCACTTCTGTAGGTTTATGATGCCCTTGTATCGATGTAAGACAGAAAGGGATGGAGAGATGAGGGGATTGTTCTAAACTAGATTATTACTGACAGTGGTGCTATACTGTATGTTTTATGAGTCTTTATTTTGTTATTTTCACGTTACTATGGTTATGTGTCTGAAAACATTCACGGCTACCTTGGAGAGTGCAACTCCAAACCACCCCTTTGGCCTGCACTGAACCACTTTCACTTCCTGGGCTATATCCCAAATGGCCTATATAGTGCACTACCCATAGGACTCTGGTCCAAAGTAGTGCACTACATAGGGAATAGGATGCTATTTGGGATTCATCCGTTCTCTACCATTACAACTACATACATTCATGAACCTAAGAGACCCGCTATACATACCTGTTTACTGCTATAGCTAGCTAACTGCTTTTTATACTCAAACACACACCTATGATATCTATTATGTTTGTTTCAGTTGAGAGAAACAGTGTATTATGATATGCTTGTGATCCTATTGGAAACTGTTATGTTATTTTTTGGTGCTACCCTACACTGAGATTCAACTTGACAACAGTTTGGAAAAAGACAAATCCATCACTTTTTAAATATTAGAATGAATGGCATAGATAGATAGAGTGAGGTAACATCATCCCATGCCGAATCACTTGAAAAAATGGTCATACTTCTATTTATATAAGATCCCATTTATATTTATGTGAATGTATTGCACTAATATGAATGCCTATAATGGGTATAAACCACAGGAGGCTGCTGAGGGGAGGACGGCTCATAATAATGGCTGGAACGGAGCGAATGGAATGGCATCAAACACATGGAAACTCCATAATTTGATACCATTCCACTTATCCAGCTCCAGCCATTATTACGAGCCAGTCCTCCCCAATTAAGGTGCCACCAACCTCCTGTGGTATAAATGGAGTCAGTCTATGCAGGTAAAGATCTGTAACTTGTGTGTTTCTTTTCAGTTTAGCTATAGCGATGGAGGTTGAAGATGTAGCTTCTAATAACCAACATCAGTCCCACCCCCCCCCTCCCCATTTCATCTTAGTTTTCACCAATAGTGGATTGTGTAATGTAACTGTCACTGTGTTAGACTGATAACACAGAATTAAAGTAACTCAATGGCAGTTCCATGTTCCCAAGACCCACCCCTTTGTTTACAAATGCAGTTGTAAGGGGGTTTCAAACTTTGGGTGGATACAGATAGAGTATTGCTACTTTAAACTTACCTCCTTCACTGACTGGAATGGGTGACCAAGCCTATAGTACATTGCACCACATCATGGTGTCTTTGTTATTATTTAGAACCATCATATTCTCCATGGTTTCACTCACTCTCCTCACCTCGATAACTTATCTCCACTCCATGTTTTGTGACCAAATGTGGGTTTTATAAAACCCTCCACCACCCATACTTGAGCCGAAACATACAAGTACTCAGCAACTGCTTGGAAGGAATCACAAACTAACAACAAACACACACCACACACACACTCTCCGTTATAATGTTAAAAGTGCTGGGTGACTTAAGTTGTAACCACTATGACCACTATGTCTAACACATAGGCCCATCTCTCATTGGTAGCCCTGAGTACATCTTTTTACATTAGATTTTTTTCTCATTTGTTGTTGTTTTGTCTGTAATCTAGATTGTAATTATTATACTTCACTGTATGTATCCCCTGGTTCAAAAGTTATTTACAAATACATTTTGGGGAAGCTGATCTGTACATTCGATGATAGGAATGAACAGAAATGTTTAGGATATGTTTTATATGGAAATATATACTTCTATGATTATTTTTGAATGACACAAAATGATAAAAACAAATTTTTATTGTCACTGTCTTCACACTGACATCTGTTGAATATATTCCACCATCTTAAAAGGAATTCTGAGAACCTGAAAAATAAATATTTTTCATACAAATCCACATTTTACATGTATAACAGAGATGTAGTGGGGCGGCAGGTAGCTTAGTGGTTAAGAGCGTTGTGCCAGTAACCGAAAGGTTGCTGGTTCTAATCCCCGAGCCAACTAGGTGAAAAATCTGTCGATGTGCCCTTGAGCAAGGCCCTTAACCCTAATTGCTCCTGTAAGTCGCTCTGGATAAGAGCGTCTGCTAAATGCCTAAAAATGTAAATGTATAACTGCCTAGCTACAATGATTATGCAGATGTACTACATTTTCCTCAGAGGATACAACAGATTGTCAAAAGGTGCAGTTGTGTTCACACTGAAATAAAAGTATTAAAACTAACACAGATTCAGATTGAATTAAGAATGATGATTAGGATTATTTGAGCGAACTTAAACTAAATTATATACCACCTATACAGATCTAGACTACTGTATGTGTAAAAGGGTCCAAATTAAGGACATTTGGTTTGATGTAGTTGATTTACCACATTTGAAGAGTGCAACATACCTAACCTAGTAGTTACTCAACACAGAAAGTGCTGTGTGCTTAACAAGACAACATTAAAGTATAACACTTAGGTGATAACACATTTATTTTGTTGTCTTCATCTTTTCCGTGGAAAGCCACAGCAGTCGTTTGATTGTCAACCACTGACAAACGCAACATCATCAATTGTTTTAAACCACTCTTGGATTGGGGAACATTTAGCTGCGTTTACACAGGCAGACCAATTCTGCACTTTTCCTCAGTTATTGTCAAAATACCAATTCGTGGAAAAAGAACAGAATTGTGATGCCTTTGTAAATGCAGCCTTTTAAGACTGCCACTGGATGGGGTCATTGCATCAGGTAAGACACTTTTCTTGTTTTTATTTTTGTATTTTTTTCTGTAGTGTGTTTGTCAAAACCTATCATTCTTGAACAAAATTGTAAATGAATCATACAGCCTTCAGGTGTTTAGCAGGGCTACTTTGAAAAAAATGATATATAACATCAATTACACATTGAAACATAGGATCCCCTGTGGCTCAGTTGATAGAGCAACACCAGGGTTTTGGGTTCGATACCCACGGCGAACCAGTACAGGGGGAAAAAGTAGTAAAATGTTTTGCAGTATGCACTCATTACTGTAAATCGCTCTGGATACGAGAGTCTGCTAAATGACTACAAAATGGATGAGTTTTTATGTTTATGTTAAATTCCATAATGCATTATATGGCTGGACATATCTGGCTAGGTAAACTGATTTGTATATTAATTTATCTTTCCACAGCAATAACTTGTATATTTAAGCCTACTGGAAATGCAGATTTACTGATAGATCAGATTCTGAGAGAACGATCCTTCCTCTGCCGCAAAGCAGGGGTGTATTCATTACAGAAACCATTTACCGTTTAGGAACCAAACGGAAGCAAACGCAGCAACGGATCGAAACAGGGAGGGACCTACCTGAATTTGTCCAATAGAAACTCTCATTTGCGTTTTGCCATCGGAGAAAACGATTTCTATTACAAAACGTTTTGCAACAGAATTGGTGTAATGATTACACCCATAGAGGAACCCAGTTTGCACTGAGCTGTTGTAAAATCACTGCTGGTTCAGCATCCACCACAACACACTGCTTAGTAGAAAAGCGTATTTTGATTTTCTCCTCTGATTTGGAACACCTAAACAGGTAACTAGCTAACATCACTAACAACTGAATAAGCTCGATAAATGCTTGTTGTCACGTTATTACGAGTGTGTTAGCTAGATAGCATTCGTTTGGTACTAACTAGCTAGCTAGCTGGGTATGTTGGATCATGAAACGATTCGATGTCAATAACGTTAGCTAGCTACCGTATTTTGTAGATATGTATGTGTTTGTATAATAACAATGTGCCTACTAGCTAGTAAGATAACTAGCTGTGTTACATAAACATCTGAACAGCAGCCAGCTAACGCTAGCTAGCTAACTTAGCTAACGTCAAGGCAAGTTAACATAACGTTAGCTTTTGATTTTCTCTTGCCAAGACAGCTAGCTAACTTAGCTGAATCAGAGAGGTGCGGGGTGCTGCAGTAATCTGACACCAGTGCGTCATCGGCGCCCGGAACCAGTTGTTGTTGGGGAAGTTAACTGCCTTGCTCAAGGGCAGATCGGCAGATTTTTCCACATTGCCGGCTTGGGGATTCGAACCAGTTACCTTTTGGTTACTGGCCCAACACTCTACAGAGGCCTAACAAATAAAACATTCCTGTCTCAATATCTTATTCCCTCTGTCCATCCCTTTCTTCTCTTTCCCCACTCCTTCCTTCCTCCCCCTCCCTCCCTCCGTCTCTCTTTCCTCCCCTCCCTCCCCCTTCTCCCCACTACCGTCCCTCTCCCTTCTCCCCACTACCGTCCCTCTCCCCCCTCTCCCTCTTCAGGTACGCTGGAATTTTCTGACACCCACTCGGACATGTCCTATGTCTTCATTAACGACTCATCGCAGACCTCCGTTCCCCTGCTGCAGGTATAGTCCAACACAAGGGGGCCAATCCCAAATCGACCCCTAGACCCGACACCTTATGCACTTGTGGAGACCCGAGAGGATTTGACAGGAGTAAACAATATGGTAATAGATCCACTTGCTCACTGCAAAAGTGGAAGTTTCACCATGTTGCTTAAACCTGTCAAATCCTCTCAGATCTCCGCACCTGCATAGGGTGTAGGGTCTGGGGGTCGATTTGGGATTGGGCAACAGTGTATTCACTTGGAACCAAACTGACGCAAACGGGACAAAAAACAGGGAGGGACCTAGCTACCTGAATTAGTCCAATAAGAAACTCTTGCTTCTGTTGCAAAACCTTTTCGGTTGCAAAACATTTAGCTACGGTGTGCACTAATGAATACGCCCCCAGTCTTTGAAGTTGATGGTTGCTACGGTTGTTATATCGATTAGCCTAATCAAAGTTGTTGTTTTATAAACTGAAAAATCTTTTTTTTTTTACCAGCAGAATTCAATAAAAGGTGTGCGTGCGAAATAAACACATGCTTTTTTATCTGTTGTGGGGCGGAAAAGCTACACATACTTTGAATCAAAATAAATAATCTAAATTTCTATCTCTGTCCAGCAATGGAAAATATCTCTTAAATTGGGATGAAAAATATCACTAAATTGGGGGTTTTAAATGTTCAATTCCCAATTTTTCTGAATCGATACAGACACCATCAATTGACTATTATTAATCTAACTCATCCCGGGTCGTTATTGTAGTAGGGCGATTCCAACGTTATGGACATTACATTTGCATGCAAAATCACAACTTTAATGTCTCACAGAATGGACAAACAAAATAGAAATTAAACTTTTGATGTGTGTGTCTATAGTACCCCTTGGGGGGAGTCTAAACCCCCAAAAAGCGGACTTCTAAATATTGGCATGTTGGAGAAATAAAGAAAATAATAAGCGTTATAGAAGTAGTTTGTAAGTCTTAGGTCAAAACATGGATAGCCATTTTGAAGGAAAGGCTTGGGTGAACACAAAAACTATAATTTAAAAAGATTTCCATGATTACTTTAGGGAGCAAAAATGACTTATGGATGTTACACCCTCCATTATGAGTCTGAAAAAAACATAAGAATCTTAAAGATGTCTTGATCAAAATCTATCATAACACATTTGTTTTTAAAATGTTAGCAGAAGGCATAGTACCTTAGGATTGCATAATTACAGGTAGCCTGAATAGTAGTTGAATGTAGACACAAATATACTATTTTCTTGTATTACAATTCTTCTGAAATATTGTAACATATTATGCAAATTAGACAATATACATGTGCCTATACTAGGCTTGGGCGATACATTTTAAATTTTAGTCATTTAGCAGACGCTCTTATCCAGAGCGACTTACAGTTAGTGAGTGCATACATTTTATTTTCATACTGGCCCGCGGTATACGGTTTAAACTGTATATTTCGAAACTATAAGAAATCTAAGATTTGTCAAATAAATTCTATCCAGCTCAGGGCTCCAGCTATGTATTTGGTTGGCTAACTTGCTAGCTAAGTGGCGAGATGTCAAGATCAAGCTTATTGGTTACAGCACAGACATTCAATCCCCTCCTGGATCAAGATGCATGTTGCCTAAATTGTTTTGTGTGTCCCCCAAAAATAAATAAATAAATACACTGAACAAAAATATAAACGCAACATGCAACAATTTAAAGATTTTACTGAGTTACAGTTCATATAAGGAAATCAGTCAATTTAAATACATTTATTAGGCACTAATCTATGGATTTCACATGACTGGGAATACAGATATGCATCTGTTGGTCTTTAGATACCTTTAAAAAAAAGTAGCGGCATGGATCAGAAAACCAGTCAGTATCTGGTGTGACCACCATTTGCCTCATGCAATACGACATATCTCCTTTGCATAGAGTTGATCAGGCTGATGAATGTTGTCCCACTCCTTTTCAATGGCTGTGTGAAGTTGCTGGATATTGGCAGGAACTGGAACACGCTGTTGTACACGTCGATCCAGAGCATCCCAAACATGCTCAATGGGTGACATGTCTGGTGAGTATGCAGGCCATGGAAGAACTGGGACAGCTTCAGCTTCCAGGAATTGTGTACAGATCCTTGTGACATGGGGCCGTGCATTATCATGCTGAAACATAAGGTGATGGTGGCGGATGAATGGCACGACAATGGGCATCAGGATCTCATCACGGTATTTCTGTGCATTCAAATTGCCATTGATAAAACGCAACTGTGTTCATTATCCGTAGCTTATGCCTGCCCATCCAATAACCCCACCATGGGCCACTCTGTTCACAATGTTGACATCAGCAAACCACTCGCCCACACAATGCCATCTGCCCGGTACGGTTGAAACCGGGATTAATCCGTGAAGACCACACTTCTCCAGCGTTCCAGTGGCCATCAAAGGTGAGCATTTGGCCACTGAAGTCAATTTACGAAGCCGAACTGCAGTCAGATCCTGGTGAGAACGACGAGCACGCAGATGAGCTTCTCTGGGACAGTGTCTGACAGTTTGTTCAGAAATTGGGCTGGCGTGGTTACATATGGTCTGTGGTTGTCTGGCGTGGTTGCACATGGTCTGTGGTTGTGAGGCCGGTTGGACGTACTGCCAAATTCTCTAAAACGACGTTGAGGCAGCTTATGGTAGAGAACTTAACATTAAATTCTCTGGCAACAGCTCTGGTGGACATTTCTGCAGTCAGCATACCAATTGCACGCTCCCTTAAAACTTGTGTTGTGTGACAAAACTGCACATTTTAGTGGCCTTTTATTGTCCCCAGCACAAGGTGCACCTGTGTAATGATCATGCTGTTTAATCACCTTCTTGATATGCCACACCTGTCAGGTGGATGGATTATCTTAGCAAATTAGAAATGTTCACTAACAGGGATGTAAACACATTTGTGCACAAAATCAGAGAAATAAGCTTTTTGTGCATATGGAAAATTGGGATCTTTTATTTCAGCTCATGAAACATGGGACAAACACTTTACATGTTGCGTTTATATTTTTGTTCAGTGTATATATATGATTATTATAAAACACATTTGAAAAAGTGCCCCTTGTGTGCACATTCGGTAATACCACATACCCCGGTATGGTACAGAAACGGTATGATGGTATGAAAATCTGGATACCGCCCAACGCTTGCCTATACTGCCAACCCACTTTTCTGGACACTGGAGCACTGTCAGTATATTTTGGGGGGGGGGCTTTCATTTGAAGAAAAAAAAAAAAAAACACTCCAGGACTATTTACAGATTGTTGATAAACACTCTTCTCATCTTTCTATCTAAATAGTACTGCCATGTATGACAAATGCATTTCAGAATATATTTCCCAGGAAAAATCTTAGATCGAACACATCATTTTCAAGATATCATCAATTGCTTTTGTATAAGTCTAAAGAATACATCCCAGAAGAAGCACACTTAATGTGGTGAATGCACAAGCTTCTGAAGCTAAGATATGATACATTATTATCCATCACATTCACAACGTTATAGATGTTACAGATATCATAACGCTGAAAAAGGATACTGACAATGTAAATATAGACAATGTAAAACCTTGATGAAAGTTAGCTTTACAGAGAAAGGTTTTAAGATGATCCGATGTAAGATGCATGTTTTACAAAAACCTTTCCTAAAAAATGTTATGCATGTTAGATGGCTAATGAAATTAAAACTTTATTTGTGGATGCTCAGGTTGACCTTCCCACAGAATTGCCCGGTAGAGAATGTGTTCTCAATAACTTACCTGGTTAAATAAAGGCAAATCCCTGACTGCAGGCCTGCATTGACGGGGACCTGCCTTTCGCCAAGCGGCTACTGGAGACGGGCTGTGACCCAAATATACGGGACAACCGGGGTCGTACGGGCCTGCACCTAGCAGCTGCCAGGGGGAACGTGGACATCTGTTGGTTCCTCCATAAATTTGGGGCAGACCTCCTGGCTACAGACTACCAGGGTAACACAGCCCTGCACCTCTGTGGACACGTGGATACCATCCAGTTCCTGGTGTCCAACGGCCTCAAGATAGATATCTGGTGAGAGAGGGGCTGGGGGTTGGAGTGAGGGCTAGTGACAGTGCCTTTTTTAGAGTGCTTGAATGCTGAGAGTGGCTCATGTCTAGATATACATCTGGTGAGAAAGGGATGGAGAGAGGGGTAAAGCTAGTGACAGCCTACACTCTGACAAAAGGTGCATTATCATGGACCATCCAAGACGCATTAAACTAGCAAATGTAACAACCCCCCCCATTATTCAGGGAAATTGCCATCCTGAACATTATTTTAATTTATCCCGTTTCTACTACATGGTCCATGGACTGATGCAGGATGGTAAAAGTAGGCTTAACATGTGAAGGAAGCACCAGCACCTCTTCACAATCTAACATCCAAGCGTTCTCTTTGGTTCTCTCAGTAACCACAACGGGTCAACTCCACTGGTACTGGCCAAGAGGCGCGGGGTGAATAAGGACGCTATCCGTCTGCTGGAGGGCCTGGAGGAGCAGGAAGTTAAAGGATTCAACAGAGGAGCCCACTCCAAACTGGAGACCATGCAGATGGCTGAGAGCGAGAGGTGAGGGAGGAGGAGATGGGGGGAGGGGGGGGAAGGAGGTGGGGGGAGCCTCCAAGCTAGCAATTCGGCGACGCGAGTGGAGACGTCAAGCTGCGGAGTGAGCTTTATGATACGATCTTAACTCTGTTACACCCACTCTAAGCTGGAGACCATGCCGATGGCAGAGATCAAAAAGGTGAGGAGGGGAGAGGGGGGGGACAGCGGAGCATGAGGTGAAAGGGTTCCACAGGAGGTAATTATTGTGTTGTGTGTGTTGAAGTTCCGATTTTCGAACACTCACAAGAGGGGGCGAGAGAAAAGAACAGAAGTACAGAATATAAAATATGATTGAATTTGCATCACTATGTAATGATATTCAAACCTATTTTCAATGTCTCTCTCCGCTCCTCCATCACTGTCTATTTCATTTACCACCATCTCCCCCCCCTTTTCCCCCCCTCAGTGGGATGGAAAGCCACTCCTATCTACAGGATCTAGATCGTATCGAAATACACTGAGTATGCAAAATATTAAGAACACCTGCTCTTTCCATGACAGACTACGTGGAAGCTATTGTCCCTTATTGATATCACTTGTTAAATCCACTTCAGTCAGTATAGATGAAGGTTAATGAAGGCTTTCTAAGCCATGAGACAATTGAGACATGGATTGTTTATGTGTACCATTCAGAGGGTGAGTGGGCAAGACAAAGGTTTTAATTGCCTTTGAACGGGGTATGGTAGTAGGTGCCAGGCGTATTGGTTTGTGTCAAGAACTGCAACACTGCTGGGTGTTTCTTGCTCAACAGTTTCCCATGTGTATCAAGAATGGTCCAACACCCAAAGGACATCCAGACAACTTGACACAACTGTGTGAAGCATTGGAGTCAACATGGGCCAGCATCCCTTTGGAACGCTTTCGACGCCATGTAGAGTCCATGCACCGACGAATTGAGGCTGTTCTGAGGGCAAAATGGGGTGCAACTCAATATTAAGGTGTTCCTAATGTTTGGAATACTCAGTGTATATCAAGTTATGTCATGGTGGCATTTAAGCTAACAATGGGCTACTTCTTTCTCTCCCTGTCAGTGCGATGGAGAGCCACTCCCTGCTCAACCCCAACCTCCAGAACAGTGAGGGGGTTCTGTCCAGTTTCAGGACCACCTGGCAGGAGTTTGTAGAGGACCTGGGCTTCTGGAGGGTATGTAACGTGTTGCATCTTCACAGATGCAAGTGCAAGTTGTTGAATGAAGCACTAAGGAGATTGGACTTTTGTTCTGTGACATGACGTGCAAACGTTGTTTGTCGGATTGATTAAGTTAGGCATCTCCTGCATAGCATGGAATATTTGCCAGATACAGGAAGTTACACCGTAAAAGTAAAACACGATTGCAGTTGCCAGATGTAGCCAATAGGTGTCTTCAAATGACCATTCTGTATATAACCTGGTGTCTCAATTTTGGTGAAACTCACAATAAAGGATGCATTTCTAACTCGATTACAGGTGCTGCTACTACTGGTGGTTATCGCCCTGCTCTCCCTGGGCATAGCTTACTACGTCAGCGGGGTGCTGCCCTTCTCCGCCAGCCAACTGGAGCTGGTACACTGAGGAAGGAGGAAGAGAGGGATGGCGGTACTGGGTCACAGATAAGAGGAAGGAGCGGATAGAAAGATGACAAGAATGGAAGGTTTGGGGCGACATGCAAGGAAGCACTGGGGTTAGATTGGAAGGGGTGGGTGGATGTGTTTTAAGTTTTAGATTCACTCGCACACACATACACACTAACATAATTCCAGCAAAACATTCCCTTTCCAACCTTAGAGACTACTCTTACCTTAATAATCCAGTTGTCACCCATTCTAGCAGAGGGCAAAGTCATGCTTATTCTCATGTGATGTCATTGTGATTGACATGACTAGCCAGGGCTTGTTGTCCATATGTGATGGTTAACAATGAAGAGGTCGGGTGACTGGCTTTTACGTAGCTGGGCCACGTCCCAATTATCTCTCATTCCTCCTAAAGTGTGCACTTGTTAACTTCCCTTCACTAATTTGAAAGGATATGACTGGTACAGTGGGGAGAACAAGTATTTGATACACTGCCGCTTTTGCAGGTTTTCCTACTTACAAAGCATGTAGAGGTCTGTAATTTTTATCATAGCGAGAAGAACAATTATGGTCCATGCTTTTAACACCACGTTCTGTTCCTCTGAAATCAGCAGAAAGATACAGTTATGAGCCCCCCCCACAAACACACACACACTGACCTCCCACCCCTCATTCCCCGCTCCCCCAACTGTGAAATTGAACACCAGCCAGGAAAGATGGAGGAGGAGGATGAGGAAGGGAAGGGAAGGGAAGGTGGAAAGGGAGAGCATGTGGAGAAAGAGGGAGAAGAGGGGTTGGAATAGAAGGAAGGAGAAGGAGGAGAAGAGGAGGAGTTGGGGGCTAGTAGGAGGAAGAGGAAGAAAAATACTTTACTCAACTTAAACCTACAAGGAAATCCCATATCACATACATCAAACACTATGGCTAGTTTTCTATCTTCAGATAAACCCTCAGATAGGGGTTAATATTGACTGGTCTGGCTAGGTCTATGAACTGTAAATGCCTAGACTAGCAATTTAACCATTTAATTTTAGAGGAAATAGGGCATAGTCTCACTGAAGAAAAATATAAATATACAGTGGGAGAACAAGTATTTGATACACTGCCAATTTAGCAGGTTTTCCTACTTACAAAGCATGTAGAGGTCTAATGTTTATCATAGGTACACTTCAACTGTGAGAGACGGAATCTAAAACAAAAATCCAGAAAATCACATTGTATGATTTTTAAGTAATTAATTTGCATTTTATTGCATGACATAAGTATTTGATACATCAGAAAAGCAGAACTTAATATTTGGTACAGAAACCTTTGTTTGCAATTACAGAGATCATACGTTTCCTGTAGGTCTTGACCAGGTTTGCACACACTGCAGCAGGGATTTTGGCCCACTCCTCCATACAGACCTCCAGATCCTTCAGGTTTCGGGGCTGTCGCTGGGCAATACGGACTTTCAGCTCCCTCCAAAGATTTTCTATTGGGTTCAGGTCTGGAGACTGGCTAGGCCACTCCAGGACCTTGAGATGCTTCTTATGGAGCCACTCCTTAGTTGCCCTGGCTGTGTGTTTCGGGTCGTTGTCATGCTGGAAGACCCAGCCACAACCCATCTTCAGTGCTCTTACTGAGGGAAGGAGGTTGTTGGCCAAGATCTCGCGATACATGGCCCCATCCATCCTCCCCTCAATACGGTGCAGTCGTCCTGTCCCCTTTGCAGAAAAGCATCCCCAAAGAATGATGTTTCCACCTCCATGCTTCACGGTTGGGATGGTGTTCTTGGGGTTGTACTCATCCTTCTTCTTCCTCCAAACACGGCGAGGGGAGTTTAGACCAAAAAGCTCTGTTTTTGTCTCATCAGACCACATGACCTTCTCCCATTCCTCCTCTGGATCATCCAGATGGTCATTGGCAAACTTCAGACGGGCCTGGACATGCGCTGGCTTGAGCAGGGGGACCTTGCGTGCGCTGCAGGATTTTAATCCAAGACGGCGTAGTGTGTTACTAATGGTTTTCTTTGACACTGGTCCCAGCTCTCTTCAGGTCATTGACCAGGTCCTGCCGTGTAGTTCTGGGCTGATCCCTCACCTTCCTCATGATCATTGATGCCCCACGAGGTGAGATCTTGCATGGAGCCCCAGACCGAGGGTGATTGACCGTCATCTTGAACTTCTTCCATTTTCTAATAATTGCGCCAACAGTTGTTTCCTTCTCACCAAGCTGATTGCCTATTGTCCTGTACCCCATCCCAGCCGTGTGCAGGTCTACAATTTTATCCCTGATGTCCTTACACAGCTCTCTGGTCTTGGCCATTGTGGAGAGGTTGGAGTCTGTTTGATTGAGTGTGTGGACAGGTGTCTTTTATACAGGTAACGAGTTCAAACAGGTGCAGTTAATACAGGTAATGAGTGGAGAACAGGAGGGCTTCTTAAAGAAAAACTAACAGGTCTGTGAGAGCCGGAATTCTTACTGGTTGGTAGGTGATAAAATACTTATGACATGCAATAAAATGCAAATTAATTACTTAAAAATCATACAATGTGATTTTCTGGATTTTTGTTTTAGATTCCGTCTCTCACAGTTGAAGTGTACCTATGATAAACATTAGACCTCTACATGCTTTGTAAGTAGGAAAACCTGCAAAATCGGCAGTGTATAAAATACTTGTTCTCCCCACTGTATATGAAATATGTTTAAAACTCCCTCTGGCCCATGCCTCCACCAATCCAATGCTTTTAGATTTGTGAGAAGGCATGAACGAGTGTACACTTCAGGAGAAAGGAGATATTACTGGGCAGCACCCCTGGAGTCTGCATTTCCTGCATTTTGTACTGTATATGTGTTCTATAATATTTGCTTTTAACATTCTCAACAGGCCCGTTATGAATGAGAATCCACATAATTTAATATGTGTTAGTAATCCCTATGACAAAATCGACCAAATATCTTACAGTGGCGTGAATTTGTCACCGTTTTCTTTTTCTGGAATACTCGCATGGCTTTTAAAGAATAACCCTCAAAAATAGAAAATATACAATTCTGACATAATGCGGTTTCATAGTAATATTAAGTTACATAACTTTGCATATCTAATGTAGTTGACACTATTCCGTTTTATAAGAAGAGAAATTGTTGCATTGTGAACCTTTTTCCTAATGTTGTCACAATATATATTTTTCTGTGTTATGTTCTGTAGATTTCTATAGTTTTTTTAATTTGTATTATCTACTAGTTATTTACATTCTATTCTTAATATTGTCCCTTTGTTTAATGATTTACACAACATGGTCAAACTGTCTTACAAAGATAATCTTTGAGGTTTCTTTCCATTCTTACCATTTTAACTCAAGTCTGTTTCACCAACAGTTCAGAATTTCCCTAATAATGCTAATCAAGCTAGAACTATTGTGTTGAATTTTGCAAAGAACAAAAATCCAACTGAAATCCAACCAAGTGTATAGAGTTAGCCTGGGTGCCAGTCTGTTTCTGCTCTCTTGCCAACTCCTTTATGGAACCTACATCCTGTTGCTTGATGATGACTGCGATGGAGTTGACAAGAGAACAAACAGATCTGGGACCAGGCTTGTGTAGATTTGCATGGGAATGTAATGTATATAAAAGGGATGTGTCATGTCATGGTCCCTCTTCCATCACCAAGTCAAGTACTAAATTCACTGTAGAGTAGCGCCATGATTGTGTGCCTTTGAAAGAAAAAGAAAATGTTTGCTGCATTTTGTGTTCAGTTAGTTGACAGCTTAATGAAAACCTTGTTAAACATCTGTAGGCTACAAGATAGAAAAACTAAGTTTTATCAAGAGCATTTCAAGTATTCTGTTATGTTTTTGTTGTTGTTGCTATGTTGTCAATGGTAGCATACATCACATATTTTAAACCATGTAGTTTAACCTTTGGTTCTGTTGTTTTGTGTCTGTTATCTTGTAGAATAAGATTTGAGGTATAATCCATCATTTGATGTGGAAAGTGAATTAATCATGTATAAAATTCAGAACTACAAATTAATTATCCTTTGTGTTGTGTTAATTCAGATTCTAAAGCAAAAGGAAACTTGGAAGCAAAATTAATACAAATGCAAAATGGAACTAAAAAAAGCATGGAACAAAATACATTATAATTGTTAAATTGCTATGTGTTATTCATACATATAATCATCAAAATATCTAACAGTTCCTTGTATAATGCAAAAAGACTATTTATACACTACCAGTCAAGATTTAGAACATCCCCATTTTTCCAGTTTGTATTGAAATTTAAGCAGTTCAAGTCCAGTGAATAACCTGAAATGGTACAAAGGGCAGCGGTAAACTGCCAGATGTTAATAGAAAAGGTTTATGTTACCAAAAACTGAAAAAGAATGTACATTTCAGAGTTATTAAAAAAATACCTTTTTCAGGGAACAAGAAATGGGTTAAAAACGTACAGCTGTTCTGCAGCAACAATTCCTACAGGTGTCCCAACTTTTGTTGATTTCATATTTGTTCTATGCTGTCTGTATAAAAGCAGTGTTGGAACAGACTGTTTTACTACACCCTCTTAAGCGTTATTTGGACAGTATTGTACTGCAGGAAGTAGTATATTGCTATCATAATGGCGAGAAAAAGGCAATTAACAAATGAAGACAGACCATTATAACCCTTAAAAGTGTAGGTCTTTCCTTAAAAGAAATAGCAAAGAAAGCCAAGGTTTCAGTGAGTACAGTTTCCTACTGTTACGTACTCCTCTCGGAAAAGGGAACGCAACACCCTGCGACAACTCAACTCTCCGTGCTGTGAAAGAGGTATGGGACTGTAGGTGTGAGTAAGGATGACAAAAGGCAGAGAATACCGTTAACAGGGAATTTATTCCTTCGCACGGTAAGTTTGGGGAAAAGGGGCTAGACGGAACCAAAGCAAAGAAAGTAAATATCAAAGCCCCCTCTCCTACCTTACCTGCCTACCCACTACTTACTTAACTAGCACCACCTGGTGCACTAACCAAAATACAAGGGATGGTCCGCCCAGTTCTTTCCTAGTGTGCATAGACAGTCAACTTCTACGGGTAATGTATGCCCGCGGGCCTCTTGCCTAAGCACTCCCCTTATGTTTTGCAGTCAGTTTAGCGACCTCGATCATACCTGGTCTTGTTTCCTGGCGATGCTTCCATTCAACGATACCACTATCGCATGATCCAGTGAAGGGTAGTGTGACAGTCATTCAAAATGACTTTATTTGTAGGAAGCAAGGAGTATTCCGCAATGTGGAAAAACTCATAAAGAAAAAAGGCGATAACTCCGGTGTTCAAAATCCATTTCATTGTAGCTAGATTGCTGGTGGGCAAAACTTGATTTTGCTCCTGTTGATAGGAACTTGCCTGCCTTCCGATAGTCTGGAACGTCTGTCACCCGTCACCAGTTTAAACGTGTTCGGCGAAATAACCTGCCCCGCCCTCCCTGTCGAGCACCAATCAGCTCAGGCACCTAGAAACATTGAGATAA